TCGGCGGGGAGTCTGCTTCTCCCTCTGATCCTCCTCCTCTCATGCTCTCTGTCTCCCATTCTCTCTCTCAGATAAATAAATTTAAAAAATCTTTAAAAAAAAAAAAAGAAATGACAATTGAAGTTTTCCAGATTGAAGGAGAATGATCCCAGATGGAATCATGGAACTGCACAATGAAAGAAAAAGCAGCCAAGTGAATTAATATAACACAGTTTTTAATATAAAAAGACTATCAACTGTTTAAAACAACAATAACTATGTATTGTAGGTATTATAACAAATATATATGTAAACTATATGTCAACAATAGCATAAAGGGCAGGAGGAAGGTAAATAGGTTTATACCATAAGGTTCTTACATTGCCCATGAAATGGCAAAACACTAAGTCAAGGTAGGCTGTGATACATTAAAAATCCATATTGTAATTCCTAGAGTACCACCTCAAACAATGTAAACTTTTCCAGGGTGAAGATAATATTGTATATTTAAGTTGTATGAGGGCATGCATTTGTTGAAACTCACCACATGGAAAATTTTAGTTTACTCATTTCATTGTATGCAGAGTTTATCTCAAAAGAAAGTAAAAGCATTTAACAATCAGAATAATTTAAAAGCCAATAGATGAAATAAGATGGAATAATAAAACTACTTTGATTAATCCAAAAGAAGTCAGGAAAACAGAAATAAAGAAACAACAAATAGGACAAATAAAAAACAAAGCATTCAGGGGATAGGATTAAACCCACCTGTAATAGTAGTTACACTAAATGTAAATAGAATAAATACTCCATTTAGAAAACAGAAATTATCAGACAACATAAAGACAAGACAAAATAAGATCCAACTAAATGCTGTTTACAAAAGACACACTTTAAATAAAAGGGTACACATTGTTGAAAATAAAAGGACAGAAAATAATATAGCATGCAAACATTAACCATAAAACAGCTGATGCAAATACCTTAGTATCAAACAAAGTAGACATAAATAAACAACAACAAAAAGTCTCTGGCAAAATTGATCAACAAAAAGAGAAAAGGCTTAGAATAATGTAATGAATGAAAATGGGGACATAACTAGAGATACACTATTTTTTTTAAATAATGAGAGAACATTAGTTAAAACTTCATGTCACAGTGATAGATACATAGATCAATAGAATAGAATTGAGAGTCCAGAAATGCACCCATACATTTATGGTCAATTGATTATTGACAAGAGTGCCAGGAACCTTCAATGAGGGAAGAATAGTCTTTTCAAGAAATGGTGCTGGGATTCAACAATGGATAGCCAAATGCAAAAGAAAGAAGTTGGTCCTCTCCCTCACACCATATATAAAAATTAACTCAAAATGTGTAAAAGACCTAAATGTAAAAACTAAAACTATAAAACACAGAGAAGAAAACATAGGGGTAAATCTTTACCTTGTGTTAGGCAAAAGTTTTCTAAATATAACACCAACAGCACAAACAAAAGAAAAAATAAATTGGGCTTTATCAAAAGTATAATTGTAAGCTTCAAAGGATATTTTCAAGAAAATGAAAAGACAAGCTACCAAAATGGAAGAAATTGTTTGTAAATCATACATCTGAAAAGGGTCTAGTATCCAGAATATATAAAGAACACTTAAAACTCAACAATAAAAAGAGAAATAGTCAACTTTTAATATGGGCTAAGGATTTTAGCAGACATGTCTCCAAAGAGGATATACAAATGACCGATAAGCATATAAAAAGATGCTGAATATCAATAGTCACTAGGGAAATGCATATCTACACCTAGTGAGATATTACTTCACAAAAACTAGGATGGCTGTAATTAAAAAGACGGCCAATAGCAAGTGTTGATGAGGATGTGGTGGAACAACACTCCACTACACACACGCGTACACACACACACACTCTGCTGTGGTGGGAATGTAAATGAGGCAGCCACTTTGGGAAACAATTTGGCAGTTCCTCAAAAAGTTAAAACACAGAATTACCATATGGTCCAGCAATCCTATTACTAGATGTATATCTAAGAGAATTAAAATCGTATGTTCACACAAAATCTTGTTGGCAAATGTTCACAGCGGCACTATTCATAATAACCAAATGTGGAAACCACCAAATATCCATCAACTTGTAAGTGAATAAACAAAATGCAGTATATCCATACAATGGAATATCGTTTGGCATTTAACAGAAGTAAGTTTTGACACAGGCTATAACACGAAGCTTGAAAACGTTAAGTGAGAGATGCCAGACACAAAAGGGGACGATATGGTATGATTCCATCATATGAAATGTTCAGAACAGGTGCCTCCGTAGAGACAGAAAGCTGATTAGTGTTTGCCTGGGCTAGGGTTCAGGAGGAATAGTGGCTACTAATGGGTACGGAGCTTCTTTTGGGACACTGAACATGTTCTGGGATTAGAGGGTAGTGATGGTTGCACAACTTGTTGATATTTTCAAGAACCCTGAATTGTACACACTTTAAAAGAGGTGAATTTTATGTTGTTTGAGTTATATCTAAATTTAAAAAAATTGTGTCATTATATTTTTAAAATATGACAATGTGGATAAATTCTTGGAAAAATATAACCTAACCAACCTGATTGAAGAAAAAATGGAAAACCTGGATAGTCTGATTATTCAAAAAAATTGAAGCAGTAGTTAAAATCTTAACCCAAAGAAAATACAAGTCCCAAATGACTTTTGAAGTAGATGCTACAAAACTTTCAATGAACTCTTTCAGAGAATAAAAATTCCTTCTGTGAGGCTAGTATACACATACAAAAGCAAGGACGGTATGAAAAAGAAAAATGATAAGCTTATTTCACTCATAAATATAGATGCAGAAATTCTAAATAAAATATCAACAAATCAAATCCAACAGTTATAAAACTGATAATAATATCATTTTAATATTTATTTCATAAATAATGAAAATAAAAATGACCAAGATGGGTTTATCCAGCATTGCAGTGATGCTTTAATATTATTAAATAGATGTCACTCACTTTTGTTAAGTAAATGAGAAAAAAAATTTTATTCTACATCAATAGTGTAGTAAAATAATTTGATAAAATTCAATACCTGTTTGTGGGAAAACAAAAAGTCTTAGTAAACTATGACTAAAAGAGAACCTATGTAAGCTGATAAAATGTACTCCTAAAAACACATAAAAATCATTCTAGGAGGATGGAGCAGAGGCATTGCCTCACGGAGGGCCTGCATGGGCTCAGCCTTCAAGATCCACAGGTGGGGGGTGCCGCTGGGTGTGGGAGGGAACCCCCACTTTTCCTAGTGGCTCTGTTTCAGCCTCAGTCCAGCAGGTAATAGGGCCCGTGAAAATCAACAAGAACTTGCCATCAGGAAAACATGGAGAAATCCCAGGAAATTAGCAAGGGAAAAAGAAAAGAGTTTACCTTGACTACCTCTCAGAGGAAGCAGAGGGACTCTGAGATCACACAGCACAAGCAGAAGGCAGCTGATGAGAAGTCTGTGCAGATAAGAGAAAAATGCTGAGTGACTGTCTGGAAAGTCCGGTGCTGCTTCCAACTAGATGTATCATAAGTTCTGTGAGCGAGATTTTGTAGAGTGAACAGTCATTACATATGTTATAACAGATCCTTATAAAACTATTTTAAACTTTACTGTACAGCTTGTGTTGGTGTGATGTTTCAGACCCATTCTTCAAAAATAAAACACTAACCATGCATATGAAAAAAAATGATTCTAAATGAAGAAATGTGTAGGAATAAGACAAAGATCCTCACCACCGCCATTTCACGTCAACATTGTACTGTATGATTTAGGTGATACAGACAAGAAACAAAATTAAAAGTGGAGAAATAGAAAGAAAAACTGATAATGTTGGTGGATTATATAATGGTCTATACATAAAATCCAAACTAATTCAAATAACTAGAGGAGATTCCTAAATTTGATCATTTCACTGTGGTTGTGTAAGAGATTGTCCTTGTTCTCAATAAATACACGATGCGTTATTTAGAGGTGAAGGGTCACGATCTTTGCAATTCACTCTTTTTTTTTTTTTTAAAGATTTTATTTATTTATTTGACAGAGAGAAACACAGCGAGAGAGGGAACACAAGCAGGGGGAGTAGGAGAGGGAGAAGCAGGCTCCCCGCTGAGCAGAGAGCCCGATGCGGGGCTCCATCCCAGGACCCTGGGATCATGACCTGAGCCGAAGGCAGACGCTTAACGACTGAGCCACCCAGGCGCCCCTTTGTAATTCACTCTTGAATGATTTTGCAAAACTAGAATATGAGTAGTAAATAATCCCTATTATATTACATTATGTATCTACACAGGGAGATAAAACAAATCTGGCAAATATTATCTATCAATGAATTTAGGTGAAGGATAATGGGAGTTCATTGTAACATTCTTGCCAGTTTTCTATAGATTTTGGATTTTTTCAAACTAACAAGGTTAATAAAAGTAATACAAAAGTCTAGTAAGGTAATTGGATATAAGATTAGTAATAAAAGTCAATTGCATTTCTTTGCATTAGCAACCAGACAATTAGGAATTAAAACTTTTTCTAAAGGACTGAATTTTTAATCACAAAATTGTATCACAAAACTATCGCAAAACTATAAACTACTTAGGAATAAATCTAAGAACAAAAGTGTGGAAGATCTATGTAGGAAATTACAAAGCTTTTTGGAAAACATTAGGAAAGGTCTAAATTAATGGAGAGACAAGCCATGTTAATGGCTAGGAAGAATTAGTATCTTAAAGAGATCATTCTCCCCAAATTAATCTACAGATGCAATGCAAGATCAATACAATTACCAAAAGGCTTTTTTGAATTTTGGTTTTTGTGGAATTTAAGAAGCTTGCATGTTATGTCAATGGTGAAGGAGAGACTATTTAAGAAACAGAACTTGTAAAACTAGTTACCTAAAGGGGGAAAAATAAAATTGGCTTGTAAATTATCCATATGTAAAAATCATCTCCACTTGGATTAAGAACAAATGTCAAGGGGCGCCTGGGTGGCTCAGTTGGTTAAGCGACTGCCTTCGGCTCAGGTCATGA